TATTGGAAACTCTGGAGGAGACGTGGCTGTGGAACTCAGTCAAATCGCTGATAAGGTAAGTAGATATTAAAAGAATGTTTAATTACGAAAAGAAGACTATCCAGAATATTAGTAAGTCTCTCTTAACACGACTATTTAATATGTTTTCCAGATGATAGTTGGAAAAAGAAATTTGGGTCACTGTAAAAATAAAGACTGAATATATATTTATTTTACTATTTACTTTGTGAATTAAATTACAAATCTCTAAGCAGTAGACATCATATAATTTTAGGTATCTTAAGTTATATCATGAAAAAAATATTTCTATTGTGATTATTATTATCTTTAAAGTTTTTAATTGATATTTTTATGTTAAAATTGTTTTATTAAATATTTCATATTCCGATTTTTCAAACAAATAGCTGAAAAATGGACATAAATAATGAAGTATTTCCCAGTAACGAAATGTAACAGTACTTACATTGAAAACATTAGAGCTTTTAGATTTTAGGGCGCAGCAATGTTACATACTTGTAAGCCCACTGTTACATTTTCTTTTTACTTATAAGAATCTAAACTGTAATATAAGCATAATGCTATTTTTTTATAATAAAACCGAGAATCTTGTCAAAATAAAGCATATTCCACATCACCTGGCACGCCAATCCTAAAAGCTTTGAGAAATATCTTTTGATTGTTTGTAGTTAAGCAGAAAGATTCACAATTGGCTAACTGTACTGTGCCCACCATGAGTATAGAAAACCGATTTCTGACTTTATAAATCCGCAGACTTACATACATGCCACTAAAGGGGGAGGCAGATGTATTTTGAATAAAAGTAAAAATTAATAGTGCTGTTGTTGCCATGGTGTGTTTTCAACGATCGGTTATCTGAGATATAGTAAATTAACATAATGTATATTATGTAAAGAACCTCAGTATATAAACATACTTTAAAATACGCTCAGTAATATTAATATATATATATATATTTACTATATTCTATAGGTATTTCTAAGCACAAGGAGTGGATCTTGGATTATTCATCGAGTTGGACCAAAAGGCAAGCCATTTGATGATAAGTATCTTAGACGATCATGGAATGTAATTTGGCTCCACGGTCCTTACAAACTGATGAACTATTTAACAGAAAGACATTTGAACAGCAGGTTTGACCATGCTGCCTACTGTCTTAAACCAAAACATCGCATCTTTGAACAACATCCAATGATCAATGATGCCCTTCCAAACAGAATTCTGAGTGGAACCGTAACAGTTAAACCTAATATTAAAGAATTTACTGAAAATGGAGTCATTTTTGAGGGAGAGGACAAAGAGCAAAAGGTTGACGTTGTAATTTTAGCCACAGGATACAAAATTGAATTTCCATTTCTGGACTCCAAAATATTATCTACTCAGAACAACCAAGTGGAACTGTACAAATATGTAATTCCCCCGAATCTAAAGCATCATTCACTTGCTATTATAGCCTTAACCCAGCCTGTGGGGGCCTTGCTTCCAATCGGTGAAATACAAGCTCGATGGTTTGCTCTCTTGATGGCGAATAAGATCCATTTGCCTCCATTGGATCAAATGATACGTGATGTCGAAAAAAAGATGGATATGATGAGCAAACGTTATCCAAAAAATCCTCGTTACACGATCCAGGTTGACTGGATACCTTACATGGATGAGATTTCTTCTCTTATAAAAGCTAAACCTAATCTGATGTTTTTGTTTTTCACAGACATTAAATTATTTTGGAAATGTTTTTGGGGTCCCTGTCTGCCCTACCAGTATCGCCTCAAAGGTCCCCATTCATGGCAGGGTGCAAGAAGAGCAATTTTATCTCAAAAAGATCGAATTCTTGGAGCATTGAAAACCGCTGATAAAACTAGGAAACAAAGTTATACAGCTGCTGAACATGCTTAACTTTTTTCAATTTCTCAATGCCCGACTTATCTTCAGATACACAATAAAAAAAAGACATATCTAAATATTTTGTTTCTTATCTGTAACTTGAAAATGGCTAACGTTCGAAAGTTTAAAGGGAAATACCCCTCTTCATGGTGATGGAAAATTCCTAACCCTCATGGCAATGTTGTAGATGGAGCCATATATGTGCCCTTGATAGAGAAAGCGTTATACAACAGTTTTGCTGCAGTCTTGTACACATAAACATAAAGATGATAAGATGAAGAAAAATATTAACAAATATGCAGATAATCGCGCTTATTAATTTAACTTTTAAAGCCATAACGGTTAAAGATTGTTGGACTAGCGCAATATATTGCTGCACTTACCATAACACAATGTTTGAAAAGTAATTAATGGCGAATGAGTATCTCTGAGATCTCTTTAAGAAAAAACAACACTCTCGAATCGACCAGTAAAGTATTGTTTGTTTGTTGAGTTTCTTGTAAAGCTACAACGGGGAAGATAGCTAGTTAACACCATCAACTCTTGGGCTACCTTTTTGCCGAAAAGTGGGATTGACTGTGACATAATAACGCCCACACCGCTGAAAGAGCGAGCATGTTCTGTGACGGGATTCGAACTCGCAACCCGCATATTGCGAGTCGAATGCCCTAACCACAAGGCCATTCCAGTAAAGTATAGTAACAGTTTCGTTGTAGATTACCCAGTTTGCCATGGTAACAAATGTGTTAATTAATACACTAATAAGCTAAGTGCTAACAAATGGAGAGTGACTTCCGTCTGGCAGTACGATAAAAGCGTACGGCCCGGCATGGCCAGGTGATTAGGGCGCTCGACTCGCAATCTGAGGGTCGCGGGTTCGAATCCCCTCTTCCACCAAACATGCTCGCCCTTTCAAGCGTGGGGGTGTTATAATGTGACGGTCAATCCCACTATTCGTTGGCAAAAGAGTAGCCCAAGAGTTGGCGGTGGGTGGTGATGACTAGCTGCCTTCCCTCTAGTCTTACACTACTAAATTAGGGACGGCTAGCGCAGATAGCCCTCGTGTAGCTTTGCGCGAAATTCAAAACAAACAAACGATAAAAGCGGAACCATCATTACACGGCCATTAATATAGACTTGCAAGGTAAAAGTACAACTTGTTTACTCGTATGGAGACTGATGTATGTGTTATTGACGAAATTAATGGCAACTTAAAAACGTATCAGCTGTTGGAGTATTTTAGAATGTAATTAATAGTCTCTTCTGCTTACTTTTAATGTTTAATGAGCCAATGGAAATATATATGTTTTTAAATGGTACACCAAGTTTTTGATTAGTTGTTTTAGTTTTTTCGTAGTCGTGGGATCTTTCGATAAGGAGTAATTACATCTATTTTTCCCCTCCTTAGAACACACATGTGTATGGTATAGAAAAAATGCTCTGACATGGAATTATAACAGACATTTATATTATATAGAAAATTTGCTTTAATACGTTAATTATAGCATTCATTTATATGGCATAAAAATTGTTAATTATAACGTGCATCATGACGGAGTATAGAAAACACGCGTTAATTATAATATACATGCAACAACAAACTTTTGTTATGATGACATAATATAGAAAACTTGCTTTAATAACTTAACACGTTAATCATAACATACATTTTGATGGAGTATGTAAAACACGTGTTAATTATAGTAAACATACAATGGCAAACTTCTGTTTTGATGACTTATGATATAGAAAACTTACATTAACATGTTAATTATAAAAAATATATAATGGTAAAGTTCTGTTGTGATATAAAAACTTGCCTTAAATACGTTAATTATAACAAACGTATAATGACAAACTTCAGTTATGATATAAAACACTTGCTTTAACATGTTAATTACAATAAAGATATAATGACAAACTTCAGTTGTGATGACTTATGATGCAAAAAACTTGCCTTAACACGTTAATTACCAGAAAGAGATAATGGCAAGCTTCTATTGTAATGACTTATAATTTAGAAAATTTGCCATAAAACGTTAATTATAACAAACACACAACGATAAACTTCTGTTTTAATGACATATGATACAAAAAAAAAATTACTTTGACACGTTAACTATAACAAACCTATAATGGTAAACTTTTGTTTTGATGACTTATGTTATATCAAACTTACCTTAACATTTTAATTATAACAAACCTATAATGGTGAGCTTCTGTTGTGATGATACTGTTGAAATGTTTAAAGGGAAGTTTCTTTATTCAGAGTTTGTAAAAGTATATACGTTTGAAAACTCTATGTGGTACAATATACTCTTGTTTTTTCAACGCGTAAGCAAAGCCGAAATATATAAGAATGTAAGAAAAGTGATTCCTTGTGGCTTTGTAGTTTTGTTCTATATTCACACAGCGCTTTTTTTAAATTATTATAAGAAACTAAAATTTCCTGTTCTGTTACCTTAAGTTATCCAAGAATTCTTTCTACCAAATTTTTCATTCAATTACAAAGAAAATCAGAGAAGTTTGTTGTTTTATGAACTAATCTGGATGAAGTTAGGGAAACAGTGGTTTTATTTAATAATACCAAATATGTGTTGGATAATCTTGGGTTTCCAACAAGTCATGCACTGCGAGGCTAATTGAAACGACTTCAAATATCATATGCTTGCAAAATCCTCAAGACTTATCCGTAAGCTTTTGTCATAGTACTTACTATACTACATAAGTTACAGTGTGTGTGGTTGACATATCACGCTGAATATCGGATTTCAGTTTTTAGAAGTGGTTCTAGAAGATAAGATCATAGAGAAAGTTCTAACAAAAGCTGGGTTCGATAACGTTTATTTCTTTAAGTCGAGAGAATGGCAAGATTATGTCGTAATGGTATCGGAAACAAAATACAAAATTGTTTTGAAAGTACTATAAATATGTTCTATACCCCCCCTCTCCCTCCTGAACATTTTACAGTAACAAAACGAACAATATTTCAACTAGTAAAGGGAAACTACAATTTTAAATACCATAAATATCGAGTCAAGTACAGATGGTGTGTGTGTGTTTTTTACAGATCCTTCTTAATTTGTCCATTGCTTTTCAAATTCAGTGTGCGTGTGGTGTTTGTTTGTTTAGTGTGTTTTGAATTTCGCGCAAAGCTACTCGAGAACTATCTGCGTTAGCCGTCCCTAACTTAACAGTGAAAGACTAGAAGGAAGACAACTAGTCATCACCACCCACAGCAAACTCTTGGGCTACTCTTTTACCAACGAACAATGAGATTGACTGTGCAATCATGATGCCCCCCACAGCTGAAAGGGCGACCATGTTTGGTGTGAAGAGAGCATTTCAAAACTAACTTTTGTTTCTACCTGGCATGACCTGTTGGTTATGGCGCTCGAATACCATTGAACATACTTGCCCTTTCAGCCGCGGGGCGTTATAAAGTCACGATCAATCCCTCTGTTATAGTAGCTCATACGTTGGCGGTAGATGGTGTTGGTTATTAGTCTATTACTTCAAAATTAAAGTCGGCTAACGTATCTAACCCTTGAGTAGCCTTACGCGAACTTCATTAAACAAAAATATTTTCTCTCCAATTTATCACTACCCTAGAAGCTTTTCGTTTAATACCAAAACTCATCAACTGGACTAGAGCCACTAGACTGTAAGAGATAAAAGACTATGAAATGCTATTTATATATACAAAACAATACTTTATAAGATACAGTTATGTTGATCTTTTAAAGAATTTATAAGCGTATTGGTTTCCAATAGACGCTGGCTTTTGGTATTTAAACACTAAATTATAAATGTTGGGCAATAGTTAAAGGCTAAAAATAACTTTAAAATCAATGTTTAGGTCAATTTGCTAAACTTGTTCAATTGAAACAAAGTCCGAGAATTTTGGGACCTTTTATGTATTTGTGTTGGTGAATAATCTTATAAATAGCTTTAAAAACAAGCATACTTAATTTCAAGAACAATAAGAAGTCCTTGTTTGTCGATATTGTGAAGCCAATATTAATGATGAGAATCGCCTCCATAAAACCTGTTTCCTAAGGTAATCACGTCCAAACATTGTATCGAAGCTTATAAAATTTGTTTAAACTAGATGTACTGGTACTGGATCTTATATTTAAACACGTGTTAGTTTAATAAGATAAATATAACAAACTCTCATGTTTACTCGGTTTGGTATTTTTTGCCGTGAACTTACAAAATTGAAGTTATTTGAAGCAAGCTGTGTTTTATAACCTAAGGTGTGTATGGTAGCGTGGTTAAGCTGACTGACAAGTTAGCGTATTCCCAGTGTTAAACAGCAGCTGTTGTGTCTCTCTTCCGAGGATTCGAAAAATCGACTCTGATTTGTTAGCCCCTCCATCAGTGTAAGCTGATAATACTAACAATGGGAGTTAAATCCCCGTGGAGGGCATAACGTAGATTGTGAATCTTTTCGCTTGAAGGTTGTATTAGCCAATGTGTGAATTGATTTAGTAACCACAGTGAATTTTATTTTTATTTTTTTGTGCATACTAAATAATAATAAAAAAATCAATAAGAAACAGATCAAAAACAGGAGTTAAATATTTTAAATAAGATGTATTTGGAGTTTTCATTAATTTTTCCATTCGTTTTTCTTCCATCGAACGAGGAACCTTAGTTAGTATCGGTACCGACTGGCTTACGACTGACCTAAATGCACCCCGCTCCCCACCCAAGGAGAACAGACACAATTTGATGTTTTTTGTTTTGCTTTACCTCTTACTACATGTGTACGCAATACCTTTCCTTGTCTCCAGTGGCTCAGGATTTACAAAGCTAAAGTCCAGAGTTCGATTTCTGAGGAGTACAGAACAAAATAGCACATTGTGTAGCTTGGTATCAAAAATATAAATAAACCCTTCCTTTAATAAATGTATCTGGTATGTCTCGGTGAATAGGAGCACTTGTTTCGTAATCTGTGGATCGTGGGTTCGAACCTCGTCACCGAACATATCGCCCTTTTCACTGTGGGGTGTTATAAGGTGATGGTAGATACTACTTTTCGATTTTAAAGAATAGTATAAGGGTTGGTTGTGGATGATCTTGATCAGCTGTCTTCACCTCACTGATGATGGATGGTGTTGACTAGCTGTCTTTGCTCAAGTCTATCACTTCTAATAAGGGACGGCAGATAGGCCTCGAGTTTCTTTGCACTAAATTCAACAAACAAACTTTAATAAACAGAGAAATGTGAAGGCATCTATAAATCACATTTGGCATTAGCATGTTAAGAATTGTGCCTAACGAAGTGTTAGTGTAGCTAATAAACATTTTAGACATATATATTGCAAATCCAGTGTTTCATAGATGTTACATATATTTATTGAGGGCAAACTAGTTTAAGACTAGGGCAGGAAACATGCACAATGCCGTCTGGTGTTAGTCACTGAGTCACCAGAATTTCACAAATAATAAATAAAATTATACTTTGATGTTTAACTGACAAAATAAAACGTGGACAACTTGTTATATTTATAAGAGAGCGTGATTATTGAAATGCTTTGCTGTACGTGAATCAGGCGGCTCTGTAAAGTTTAGTTGGATTGTTATTTTGACATTTTGAAATCGCTTGATCATATGATGTTGAGGCCCGGCATGGCCAGGTGGTTAGGGATCTCGACTCGCAATCTGCGGTGAGCGAGTTGAAATCCCCATCACACCAAACAATCTCGCCCTTTCAGCCGTGGGGACGTTATAAAGTGACGGTCAATCCCACTATTCGTTGGTAAAAGAGTAGCCCCAGAATTGGCGGTGGGTGGTGATGACTAGCTGCCTTCCTTCTAATCTTACACTGCTAAATTAGGGACGGCTAGCGCAGATAGCCCTCGTGTAGCTTTGCGCGAAATTCAAACCATATGAACGTATTAGAGAGGTATACAACAGCATGAATGTAGTGAATAATTTACTCAATGCATGGAGCTACGAGCGTCATTAATAAGTTTAATATATTTTAAGATTATTCTGTCCCTTTATTCCGAGATTGGCTGCTATGCAATGGTAAGAATACGAAACTTTTCGTCTGTAGTTGAAATTAAGTAAAGGTATAATAATGTTTTTTATCATAAAAATATTTTAATATTCGTAATATACATACATATTACACTGTTTTTGTTTAAAAATATGCTAAAATAACATATTTTGACATAAATCCTTTAAGATTAAAAATATATATATATATATATTTACTTACAACAAAAAGAAACAATGTCCTTAACAAAATGATTAAAACAATGAAAATTTTAAGATAATATTTAATCTACTAATTAAATTTTCTAAAACATAACGTAAACAAGGACTTATATCAGTAAATATTACATTATTTCAGTCTGTTTCTTTGTTGTTAAGCACAAAGCTACACAATGAGCTATCTGTGCTGTGCACACCACGGGTATTGAAACTTGGGTTTTAGAGTTATAAGCCTTTAGACTTACTGCTGAGCCACTGTGAGGCATTATTTCAGTCAATTATTTCAAGAACTGCTGTAATGATATTTCTCATTCAGGACTCTAGATGGCGGCCTTAGCATTTTTACCTTATCAGACTACTCTTTCTGCTTATAATCTACTGAAACTAATTCTAAAATTCCTTTAGAATCCGTTCGTCTGTCTTGTATTCTCCACTGCATACAAGACAGACGAACGAATTCTAAAGGATATCGTTTACAAAAATACTACACCAAAGAAACAGAACACAAAACTGCAACTCAACATCTACTACAAGTCTACCACAACGTCTGACCTTATCGTAGAAAAACAGACCCTGACTAAAAAGACAGCAGATCTACAGCAAGTGAACGTCATTTTACGAGTACAAGTGTAATAAAGGAGACTGCGAGCTCCTG